GGAGAGACAGAAGAGAGAGATGGAAAGTGAAGAAAGAGGTGGAGAGAGAGACAGAGAGACGGAGAGAGAGAGTGGAAGCGCCATGGAGCTCCTGGCACTGACACTGGGTCCCTCCCCCACAGTACATGCCAACCACAGGTGCAGTGATTGAGATCCACAGCAACCGCATTCAGCTGTATGGGGCCCAGCTCCGGATCCACGCCCACTTTACGGGGCTCAGGTAGGAAAGGGTCAAGAGGACGAGGGGATCTTGAAGCACAGACCTCAGGAAGGGGAAATTAGGGCATTGGCCTTTCCAGCGGGCTGCGCCTTGGCCTCCTGTCTGGGCAGAGCAGGCTTTCAATCTCGAGGATGCTTTGTTTCCCCGAAGCCAGGCTAGGTGAGGCATCTGCTATGGTGAAGGAAGCCAGCCCTGGCCACCAAGAGTCACCGGGGGCAAGCCACTTGCCTTGCTAAGCCTCAGTTTCCCCTTCCATTAGGTGAGGGGGGCTGGGCCTCAAAGGCCCCTGACTCCCTCCTGGCTCCTAGGTTAACACAAGGCACAGTTCTCAGACGTACGTTGGCTTTCTTGCCACCAGACTCTCAGCATCTCCCCAGCTCCGGGCTCGTCATTAGGAGGGAGGAACATTAGAGGTTAGAGCCCTTTGAACCCAAGCAGGCGTAGGGTAAGCCCCTACCTCAGAGCCGTCCAGGCCCTCTGGTAATGCCGACTGTCCTCTCTACCGGGCCTCAGGTATCTGCTCTACAATTTCCCCATCACCTCGGCTGTCATTGGCATCGCCAGCAACTTGACCTTCCTCAGCGTCATTGTGCTCTTCAGCTACTTGCAGTGGGTGTGGGGCAGCATCTGGCCCAGGCACCGCCTCACCTTGCAGGTATTGTGGGCAGGACCCTCTTGTGCCCCCATGTGAAGTGGGCCGGGCATATCTGGAATGCCCGGGGTACGGCTTCCAAGGAGAACTTTGGGGGTCCCTGCTTCCTCACAGCTCGGTGACTTCTCTCCTTGTGTTAGGTGACGAGCCGAGATAAGAATGGCTCCCATGCAGAAGGCCAGAGAAGGGTCCCCGCCAGACGGCCAGGTTTGTCCGGGGCGCCTCCCCCTCCCGAGGCAGACGCACGTGGCTCTGAGCTCTCTCCTCCAGTGGGGCTCCTTGCCCTAGGCTTGGCCTCAGAGAGCCATGGCAGCAGCCAGAGCCCTGACTCTGGAGATCCTCCTGCCCTCCCCCTTTCTCGGCTGGCTCACTTCCTTTCCAGTCATACGTGTCCTCGATGTCTCATGCCACTGCTGGCATGCCAGTCGTGACTGAGCCCATTTGTCATAGGAGGGTCTTGGTTTGAAAAAAATATGGTCACCTGACCATAGCAGGAATACTATCTTATAGCTCCTTAGCTTGTCATGAGCCTCGTAAGGGGCCAACAAGCCAGGGGAGTTTGGGGTCTCTCCTGAGCGCCCTGGTGCCAGAGGAGGGGCATTGAACACTTGGGGACCAGGATGAGGCCTGGACAGTTTCCCGTATGTGGTCCGGTTCACGGTCTGTCCATAGAGCTAGTTCCTCTTGGCCAACTCGCTGCGTGAGCTCAGGCCTCTGATTGCAGCAATAACTCATGTGTATAGCATCTCAGGACGCTGTCCAACTCAGTGTTTTCTTCACAGTAGCCCCATGCCAGGGTTAACCACTTCTTACCAGTGGAGCCCAGGCCTCCCAAGTCCAGCTTTAGGGTTCAGCCCCCATTGGGAGTGAGCATGATGCCCCTCAGTCCCTCTGCTTGGAGGAGGTGGGGGTGGTGGGGAAGGAGTGCATGTCACTGTTGGAACAGCTTCCTGCGGCCTCTCCCTCTCCTTAGGGCTGGGGCCAAGAGGCCGAGCCGAGCTAACCAGGCTCCCAGAGAAATCGCAGGATGACGGGGACCCCGAAGTTGTCCTGGGTCCAGGTACGTGCCAAGGGCAGAGAGAAAGACATCATCTCACCCCGTCCTTTCTCTTTCCCCTCCTAAGACACACCCAGCCAAGTGTGATTGCCACCCCCCCAATTCTCTCTGCAGAGAGTCAGCTGCCAGAGGAGAAAGGGCCCGAAGTGCAGCCTCTTAACGAAGAGGGGCCAGATCAGGAGACCAGTGATGGTGAGGGGGCCTGGGGGCTGGGGGGCCATGGTTCCGCTATTCCATACTCCCTTGGTCTCCCCCTCCTCTTCCTCCTCACATCCTCCCTTCTTCTCTCCCCCACTCAGGTTCTGGCTCCTGGGAGGACGCAGCCCTGCTGACTGAGGCCAACCTGCCCTCCCCCTGCCCAGAAACCCTGGGCAGCGCAGACCCTCCGGGCAGCATGGAGAGCCCTGCGGGCACCCCCCGCCTCCGCTCAGCCTGCTCCAGCTCTTGAGGGGGGTGCTGTGGTCCTCATATGTCCAGCACTTTCCTTTGCCCTCCATCCTTTCCTCTTTTCTCCACAATAAACTTTTTTCACACCATCTGGTTTCCTCACTGGGCCGCATTGGGAAGGTCACTAATCAAGGAATGGAAAAGTAGCTGCCCCTGGAGCATTTCCCTCTTAGCCCTCTCATGTCAGAGCTGCTCACGTGTTGGGGGCTGGGAGACTTGGACACAGACCAGGACAGTCCTTGGGGCCATAACCCGTTGTGGCCTATGAGCTTGGTTCTTCTGGAAGCTATTAATCTTTCCATCTCACGTGGGGCCCTCATCTGGCCCCAGGACTGCGGAGGGTTGGGGGCTGACACACTGAGAACTGTTCTATCTCATCCCTTTCTCTATCCACTGGGAGGTGTAAGGCAGGAAATAAACTGGCGGGTATGGTAGGGATTTGACCAGAACAAGCGTGTACCAACCCAGTTCTCGTACCAGCGCACAGATGTGCCGTCCACGCAGAAACTCACCGCCTTCCTCACATGCCTAACACATTCCACTCTTAAACTTCTGGCTGGTGTCCAGGCTCCCCTCCCTTTCCAGGACCCTGGAAGCCTGGCCTCCAGCTGGGCCAGATGAATGTGGTTTTCCTCATCTCCAGTCCCGTGACTCAGAGCCGTGCTGGGACCAGCCCTTCTCTGTGCAGACACAGGACCACGGATGGGGGTGGGGGGAACAGATAGTGACATCACTGCTGAGGCTTATAAAATCAGAGACTCTTGACAAAAATCAGGCAGTGGAGCTAGAAAGCCACTGAAATTCACCCCCAGTGCTGCCATGACAACTGCCAGCACCTGAGCCACCTGATCCAGAAACGCTCGTCCAAAACTGCTAGCTGGTGAGTGAGGGTTGTGTTTTGTGGGAGATGTCGGAGGTGAGAACTAATGGCGGGGCTTGGGCGAAACCTGGCAGCAGATGAAGAGCCTGACGGCTCCTTTGTGGTTCACTCGGTTCTGACTCTTCGAGACCCCATTTGGGGTTTTCTTGGCAAAGTGGTTTGCCACTTCCTTCTCCAGCTCATTTTACAGATGAGGAAACTGAGGCAAACAGACTTGCCCAGGGTCACACAGCTAGGAAGTGCCTGAGGTCGGATTTGAACTCAAGTCTTCCTGACTCTAGGCCTGGCATTCTATCCACTGCCAGCTAACCAGCAGGAACCCTGGAAGGTTTCTAGCTACCTAAATTTCACTTCATCTCCTTCACGTCATAGAAAGGTGGCCTAAATGTAGTGGAAAGAACCACAGGTCAGGTTCTGTTCAAATCCTGATTCTTGTTCCTATGCATATTGACTGTAGGCAAGGTCCTTCCTAGCTCTGGATCCTGTGAAATTCTGTCAGGTAAGTTGATATATAGGCACTGGGCCAAAGGCAGCTCTGGCTAATTCGTGCATTAGCCTGATTGTGTGTGTGTGTGTGTGTGTGTGTGTGTGTGTAAAAGCACATCTGTATGTATGCATATATATACAAGTTTATATGTGTGTATGTGTATTTCTATATGTACATACATATATACATAATATACACCTATCTAGATGAAATGTCTGTGTGTGTGAGAGAGACAGAAAGAGAGAGAGAGATCTGGGACCCTCTTATTCAGTTCATCTTTTGCTGTCTCATTAGAAATTTCCTCTGTTCACTGACTCTCATGGCTTTTATCTGCCCACCTCCTGTAGGAGACAGTGGAAAAGGGACAGTTCTAAATGACTACCTTTTGTTTCGTTTTGATTCATTTTGAACTTAAACATATAAAGCCAAAAAAATAACATTTCCATGTACAACCTAAAACGAGGATTCACTATAAAACCATGAATTCACATTTCACCATTTACTTTAAAAAAAAAAACTAATACTCTTGTTGTTTTCTATGTTTCCTTCTACGTTTTCTTTTATTCTCTGTTCTTAGTCTTTTTGATATTTTTTCCCTTCTCCCCTCCCTGCTCTAGAGAAGGTTACCATTAGATACAAATGTGTGTGTCTGTGTAAAACCATACAATACATATTTCCATTGATTTCTCTAGAAGCAGATAGCATCTTCCTTTGTATATCCTTGGTACTTAATTTGAGTATTTACAACACTCCAAATGACTTAGTTGCTCAATTTTGTTCTTTTTTTAAAATTAAACTATTAATTTTTAGTTTTCAACATTTCATTCCATAAGATATTGAGTTTCAAATTTTCTCCCCCTCCCTCTCCTTCCCCAACCCCAAGACAGCGTGCAGTTTTATATAGGCTCTACATATATATTCATATTGAACCTATTTTCACATTAGTCATGCTGTAAAGAAGAATTAGAATCAATGGGAGGAACCATGAGAAAGAAGAAACAAAACAACAAAAGAAAAGGAGAGCAAACAGTATGCTTCCACCTGCATTCAGACTCCTCAGTTCTTTTTCTGGATGTGGACGGCTTTTTCCATTGTGGATCTTTTGGAATTGTCTTAGATCCTTGCGTTGCTGAGAAGGGCTAAGTCTATGAAAGTTAGTTATCACCATAGTGTTGCTGTATATACAATGTTCTCCTGCTTCTGCTCACTTCACTCAGCATCAGATCATGCAAGTCTTTCCAGGTTTTTCTCAAGTTTACCTGCTCATCATTTCTTATAGCACAATAGTATTCCATTACATTCATATATCACAACTTGTTCAGCCATTCCCCAATTGATGGGCATCCCTTCAACTTCTAGTTCTTTGTCACCACAAAGAAAGCTGCCGTAAATATTTTAGAACATGTAGATTCTTTTCCTTTTTCCCCCGATTACCTTGAGAAACAGACTCAGTAGTGCTGTTGCTGGGTCAAAGGGTATATAGGCAGTGTAATAACTCTTTGGGCATAATTCCAGATTGCTCTCCAAAATTGTTGGATCAGTTCACAACTCCACCAATAGTGTATTAGCATCCCAATTCTTCCACACCCCCTTCAATATTTGTTTCTTTCCCCTTCTATCATTTTAGCCAGTCTGGTAGGTATAAAATGATATCCCAAGGTTGTTGCAGTTTGCACTTCTCTAATCAATAATGATTTAGAGCCTTTTTTCATCTAAAAATGGTTTTGATTTCTTCATTGGAAAACTGCCTGTTCATATCTTTTGGCCATTTTATCAACTGGGGAATGCCTCATATCCTTATAGATTTGACAAAGTTCTTTATATATGTGAGATACGAGACTTTTATCCAAGAAGCTGTCTATAAAAAGTTTTTCCCCCATTTTCTGCTTTTCTTCTGATCTTGGCTACATTGATTTTATTTGTACAAAACCTTTTTAATTTAATGTAATTAAAACTATTCATTTCATACCTCGCAATGCTCTCTATCTCTTGTTTATCCATAAATTCTCCTATCTACAAGTCTGATAGGTAATATTCTTCTAATTTTCTTGTAAAATCTCCCTTTCTATCTAGGTCATGTATCCATTTTGACCTTATCTTAGTAAACAGGGTAAGATATTGGTCTGTGCTCAATTTCTGCCAGACTTTTCCAGCTTTCCCCCAAATTTTTGCCAAATGATGAGTTCTTATCCCCAAAACTCAATTTCTACTTGTCAAACATAAGGTTACTATAGTCATTTACTGCTGTAAAATTGCATGTCTACTCCTTTTCATTGATCTACCTTTCTATTTCTTAGCCAGTACGTTAGTTTTGATAACTACTGCCTTATAATATAGTTTAAGATCTGATACAGCTAAACCTTCTTCCTTTACATTTTTATTAGTTCCTTTGATATTTTTGACCTTTTGTTCATCCATATGAATTTTATTATTTTTTCTAATGCAATAAATTTTTTTTGTTATTTAATTGGATGGCATTAAATAAATAGATTAATTTAGGTAAGACTGTCATTTTTATTATATTGGCCCTGTCTACCTATGAACAATTAATATGTCTTCAGTCATTTAAATCTGATTTTATTTGTATAAAAAGATTTTTTTACAATTTTGTTCACATAATTCCTGAATTTGTTTTGGCAAGTGTACTTCCAGGTATTTTATGCTGTCTACAGTTATTTTAAATGGGGTTTCTCTTATGATCTCTTCTTGTAGCGTTAATTGACTACTTTTTTTTTCTTCCCCTTATTATAGGTGTCATGCTGAGTTCAGCCCATTTCCTGCAGTTTCTGGCTGTTGTTTTCATTTTACCACACCTGGCTCAGTCTTTCTCTTCAGAGGACAATGAGGAAGAGGAAGAGGAGAGAGAGAAAACCCCCCCTCCTAAGAACCATCTCTGCGATTATGACCGATGTAGACATCTGCAAGTGCCCTGTGAAGAACTCCAGGGCCCTAATGGCACAGCCTGCCTGTGCCCGGCTCTCTCCAGTTCCCACAAACCTCCAGAGCCTCCCCGTCTTGGAGAAGTGCATATCTGGGCTGAACAGGGCCGGGCAGTAGTCCACTGGTGTGCTCCCTCCTCCCCTGTGGATGAGTATTGGCTTGAGCTCTGGGAAGGAGGTGCCCTTGTCAGAACAGGCCCTCCTGTTCTGTTCAACACTACCGTCCGAAGGGCAGAACTGGAAGGACTGAAACCTGGAGGAGCTTACGTCCTCTGTGTGGTGGCCTCCAATGCCGCTGGGATAAGTTCTGTTCCAGAGGGAGGTGGGGCAGTCGGGACTCCCCTGCCCACCACCTTTCCATTATTTGGACCCTGCCGCCATCTTTCCATTCCCCCTAGACCCCAGACCCTGGTGCATGTAGCAGTGGGAATGGGGATAGTCCTGATCTGCATAAGCCTTGCTGCCTTGCTGTGGCATTTCTGTCTCCGGGAGCGCTGGGGCTGTCCTCACCAGTCCAGAGGAACAGCTGCTTCCAGAACCTGGGAGGAATTCTAGTAGTGCCAGCCACGAGCTTAAGGACCATAGACAGAAAAAAAAATGGTGGATGACTTAACCTTCAGAGAGTTGCCTGATTTCCCACACCTCAAGAAAGTGGCCTCAGGTCTACTGAAGGAGGGAGTTCCCCTCAGAAGGGAAAGTGACGACGACCCCATACCCCAGCCTGGAGTTCCTCAAACTGCAGTGTGTGTAATATGGTCCTTCCCCCTCTCCCCTAGGTAAGGGCGAAAAGCTGCAACCACAGAGAAAAAGCACCCCTTCACGTGACTGGGCTCTCATCTTTAGCTCAGTCCTCCTGGAGGGAGAAGACTTTGCTTTTCTCCAGCAGTCTTTGTTTCTTGCTGACTAATAAAGCCACAATAATGGAGCCCAGAACCTTGTCTGTAGGCTTTTGTGTGAGCATGGCTGGGGCCAATGGAGTACTGGGGAGAGGGAAGAAGGGAAACTCCTCCTTGGAGCTGTGCCAGGGTAGGGGCATCCAGAGAGCTGACTGGCTGTGCCCACCATTGCTGCCACTGTGCCTAGAATAGCTGTCTGGGCCCTGGGGTGCAAGGACTCTTCTCCCCTAGGTCCTCAAGTGCGACCCTTTGACTTAATCCAAACTTCACAGAACAAATCCCCTTAATAAAAGGATCTGTCCTGTAAAACTTGGACTCAGTCAAAATGCCACACCCAAGGGCCTAGAAGGCCACAGCTGGCCTCAGGTTCCCCACCCCACGTCAACACCTAGGAGGCTTGCCAACTGTCTGGAACGTGGAAATGAACTCCACTCTCCTGAATCCAAATGCCATGTTCTTTCCACTTTGGGAGACATGCTGTCTCCAAACAGGAGTAAGGTAACTTTTCTGCTCCCATTATTTTCAAAAAGGAATCTCAGGCAGGAATAGGTTCAGCTCCTGGATCTGGCCTTGTGCTCGCCCTTCTCATTTTCAGCCTGTCACGCCCCCACCCCTTCTTTCCTTTCTCTTACTTGCTCCCCTGCTCCAAGCTTTATGACCAGGCCGTGTTGCCTTGCGCTACATTTAAAATCTAGCCCAGCTGCCTTCTAGTCGGAGGACTTTCGACAGCTGGAAAATGAGGGCCTTTGATTTCCCTTTCCACCTCTGACATTTTATGGCCTTCCTGAATTCTAGCCGTCATCTCTCAGGAGATGTGTTCAGGGGTGGAGTTCTCTTACCCTCTGACTCAAGCCCCTGGAGGCTGCAGAGGGCAGATGGTGGGTAGGCAGGGCCCCTGGAGATGGGACAGAGCCCAAGAGCCACCGGCACAGGCCCAGCCTTGTGCTTCCCAGCTCCCTCTGGCTCTGTGTGCCTGCTGAAGGGGAAAGGCAGGAGGCAAATCAACAACACCAAGTGCCTAGTACATGCCAGGCACTACTAAGTCCTCGGGATTAAAAAAAAAAAAAAACAGGCAAAACCAGTCCCTGCCCTCCAGGAGTTCACAGTCAAATGGGGGAGATGTCAATCAGTAAGTATTTATTAAGCCCCTACTATATGGCAGACACTGTGCTAAGCACTGGCGATAAAAAGAAAGGCAAAACCAGTCCCTGCCCACAAGGAGCTCCCAGTCTAACGGGGGAGAAAACATGCAAACAGCTTTGTACTAACAAGACAGAAACAGCCTTGACTGGACACGACCCACAAGGGAAGGCACTGAGATTAAAGAAGACTGAGAAGGGCTTTTTGTAATGATGGGACTTGGGCTGAGCCTTGGAAAAGGTGGAGATGAGGAGGGGGAAAGCTCCCAGGAAGCTGTTGGCCAGTCGAAAAGGCCAGAGTCTGAAGTATCCTGTGCAAGGACTTGTAGAGGCCAGTGCTGCTGGCTCAAAGAATACGGGGAGGCGGGAGGAGGGGGCGGCACAAGATAAGAAAAGAAAGTGCCAAGCTGTAGAGAGCTTTAAAAGGAAAATGGAGGCTTTTAGATTTCATTCTGGAGGTAACAGGGAGCCAGGTTAGTGAATGGGAGTGTGTGTGTGTGTCTGTGTGTGTGTGTGTGAGAAAATGGAGGTTTTCAGATTTCATTCTGGAGGTAACAGGGAGCCAGTTTAGTGAATGGGTGTGTGTGTGTGCGCGCGCGCTCGGGCCACAGTCAGTCTTGCCCTCAATTTGACAGCGGAGTGGAGGATTGACTGAAGACGGCAGACCACTCAATAGCTATTGCAATAATCCAGGCATGAGGTGACAAGGGCCTTCACCTGGGGCGGGGATACAGGAAAGAAGGGGGTGAACAGGAAATGGGTTGTAAAGGTGGAAGCCATAGTTCCCTGAAATTGGTCAGATATGAGGTGAGAGAATGAGGAGTTGAGGATGACATGAGGACGAGATGAGGAGCCTAGGAGACTGGGAGGATGATGATACCTCAGACATCGATGGAGAAATGAGGAAAGGGAAAAGGTTTGGGAGGACAGATAATGAGCTGTTGTCCACGTGTTGAATTTAAGTTGGCTACAAGACATTCAGGTTTGCGCTATCCACTAGGCAGCTGAAGACATAAGACTAGAGTCTGGAAGAGAGGTTAGTGCCGGACAGATCTGAGAATCGTCTGCACAGAGATGACCACTGACTCCAGTGAGCTGATGAGATCACCAAATGGAATAGGATAGAGGAAAAGGGGAGAGCCCAGAGCAGGGCTGGGGCTAATCATGAGTTAGTGAGTGTGCCAAAAGGAATAAAAAGGACAGATGCATTGGGCAGGAAGAGAACCAGAGGACAGCAGTGTCCCAGACTAGAGTGTCAAGGAGAAGAGGGTGATGGAGCAGTGTCAAAGGCTGCAGAGGACTGAGAGAAGGCTCTTAGTGTTGGCAATGAAGAGATCACCAGTTGCTTTAGAGAGGGGAGTTTCATTTGGATAACGAGCTCAGAAACTCTACTGAAGAGTTTAGGAAGGAAAAAGAAAGGAAGTGAGTGCATTGGTGGTAGATTTGGCTACCAGCATAGCCAGAAAAGAGAGAAGAGACATGGGAGGATAGTTAACAGGGATGGACCAACCTGGAGCAGGTTTGTAGGCAGTAGGGAAGAAGTAAGGAGGCAAGGAGAAATTGAAGATAAGTGACAAGGGGGATGACAGAAGGGGTAGCCTTGTGGAGAAGACGATGGAATGGGACCCCTTGTGCACGGAAAGGGGTTTGCCTCTGCAAGCAGATGGGCCAGATCTCACGCGAAACGGGTGAAGGAAGAGATAGAGGCAGAAGGCTCTTCGAGCTGGGAGCTGAGGAGAGAAGAGGGAGCTTTTAGCAAATAGCCTCCATTTCATCCAGCTATGAGGCAAGGTTTGCAGCTGAGAGGGTGGGGAGAAGGAAAGCTAAGAGAGGTTGGAGGAGAGCTAAAAGGTTTTCTTATCTAGTCTTAAGCACTGAATGGGTGTTGCCTCAGTCAAACTGAGACCTGTTAGAGATCTTAGCTTAAAAAGGCCAAGGTCCCTCTACCCAAACCTGGGCCATCTCCAGTCATCCTGATCTATATCTCAATCATTGGACTCAGATGACTCCTGAGGAGAAAGTGAGACTGGTGACTTAACACAGCCCTGCCTCACTTAAATCCAATTCACTTGCAAGGCACAGCATCACCTTCTTGATGTCATGGTCTTCTCTGAGAACGAAGGACTAAGCACTGTGATAAGTAAAATAGGGAGTCAATCAAGGAGCTGTAAAAGGACAGTCTTGCTAGGGCCAGGGCCCAGTTGAGATGAGTGCATGCGATCAGATTTGCTCCCACCTTGTTCCCCAGAAGGTGAGTACAAGCCCAGGCAGGACAACAATTGGATAGGACTGGGAAAAGGACTGAAAAGGGCAGGGTAGAATTGAACTGGCTCACTAGGGGGGCAGAGTATAGCTAGGGGAGGGGGGAGGGCCCAGGAAAGAACTCACTAAGGGGTGCAGGAACGCTCTCCCTCCTCTGCTCCAACCACTGACCTCCCTGGCTTCATTTAAATCCCATCTTCTACAGGAAGCCCTCCCCAACCCCTTTTAATTTAATTCACCTCCTCTGTTAATTATCTCTCATTATCGCGTACATAGCTTGCTTTTTATATTTTTGTTTGCATGTTGTCTCCGCCATTAGGTTATAAGCTCCTTGAGGGCAGGGACTTGTCTTTCGCCTCTTTTTGTATCCCCAGCATTTGTGCCCTGCACATAATGGGTGCTTAATATTCCTTGACTGAGGATGGATAACGGGGTTTGGGCCAGCAAAGCCTAAGGAGAGGAGGGATGCCAACAAACAGCGAACAGATGGGGGAATCTGAAAGGTCAGGACCGTGGAAGGGGAGGCGTGAGCGTTTGCGGGGGATATTGCGAGGCTCCGCTGCGTGACACCTGGGCTAAGCTCCTCCCCTCTCTGAGCCTCAGCTTCTTCCTCGGCTACGAGTGGGAGTGGGCCACCGAAAGGTCGCCAACTCTAAGCGCTTCCCTCCTCGCGCCGGAATGAGGGATGCGGAAGGGGTTGCCTAGGAAACCAGAACTCCTCCCCCTCCCACCAACGCGACCACGTGCCCTAAAAAGCGAAGTCGCTGCTTTGTCCCTCAGCAGCTCCCGTAGACCGCTCCTCCTCCGGGCCAGAGCATCCACGTGACACAAACACCGGCACTTCCGATCTCCTCGGCTTCCTCCACCTTCACGCGTACCCCTCGAGCACTCTCGGCCCCCCTCCCCCGCCGCCTCCCACCAGCGCCCAGCGTGTCCGGAGCCGCCGAGTCTGGGTGAGGGCACGTGACGCGGACGGGGGAGGGAGCGGGAGGAGGCGCGCGCAGCCCAGAGCGGGCTCGTGCCTGGGCTGGGGAGGGGAGGGAGATGCGAGCCGTGGGGAGGCGCGCGTGCCCCGAGGGGGCCTGTGGCCTGGCCCCGCCCCATCCGCGGGCCCGAAGGCGCGCGCAGTCCAGCCTTGGTTGGTATGTGGATGGGGGGAGGGAAAGGGGAGATTGAGGCGCAGCCTAGCTCCGCCTCCTACTTTCGTGGATGCGCGCGCAGCCCCGAGCGGGTACGTGGTCTCACGCAGAGAAGAGTAAAGGAGGCGGAGGCAAGGCGGGCACGCGGGCGGCTCGTTCTTTGCTCCGCCCCCTTCCGGGAAAGGAGGGGAGGTGCGCGTGGACCCCGCCCTGACCCCGCCCCCTCCTAGGTCCCGGTGGAGGCGGAGGCGGTGCGATGGCGGAGCGGACGGCTCTGGAGAGTCTCATCGAGATGGGCTTCCCGCGGGGGCGCGCGTAAGGGAACCCGTCCCCGCCCCCGCGGGGGCGCGCGGCACCAGTGTTCACAGCCCCTCCCCCCGATTTTTGGGAGCTTTCCCCCGGCTCTTCCCGCCCCTCCCCCGTGGGAGCCCCGGAATGTCCGCGGACACGCCAGTACCGCGCCCCTCCCCCCGCTACCGCCCCAGGCTCCCTCCGGAGCTGCCCGGGATGCCCACCTCTCCCCCCCGGCCTCCTGTGCACCCGCAGCTCGGGGCTTGCCTTTCCTGGGCTGCAAAACTGGGGGGGAGGGGGGTTCTGCGCGACCCCGCCCCCCTAAAGCTCACCCTGGTTTTTGTTCCCAGGGAGAAGGCTCTGGCCCTCACGGGGAACCAGGGCATCGAGGCTGCGATGGACTGGTGAGAGGAAAGGGGGGCCCAGGGGGGGTGACTGGGAATAAAGGGGAGCCGGTGGTGGCCTGGGGGCGGGGTCCTGGAAGAGGAAAGAAAGTTGTAGGGTAGGTGGAGAAGCCAAGCTCAGGATTCTGGCCTCCAAGCAGGCCCCAGCTCACTAGGTTGCCCCACTCATCTAGGTTGATGGAACATGAAGATGACCCGGATGTGGATGAGCCCCCAGCTTCCCCCCTGGGACACTCCTTGGGGCATGAACCCCCGTCCTATGGGGGAGGCAGCCCTGAAGGTCAGAGCCAAAGGAATAGGTGGAGGAGTGGCGCCTTCTGATTAGGGAAGGGATGGGGATTCGGGAAGATGCGGCAGGGCCATGGCAGTTGGGGACATGATTTGGGTCACCTCTCCGCAGGGCCTGGGTCAGTGAGGGTGGAAGAGAAGCCACCTCTGAGTGAAGAGGAGAAGCGGGAACAGACCAAGAGGTACAGGACACCAGGTCTTTCCATCCTTCCCCATAGAGAGCCTGCTTTTCTCCTTGAACCCCGGGCCTAGCAGGGTCTGCCTTCTGTTGTTGGTGTTCTGCATAGCCCACCCCTGGTTGGTTAGCTCCTTGAAAGTAGGAGCCACATCTCTAAAACATTTTCTGGTCTCTGCCGGTAAAAAACACAGTGCTGTGCACACAGTAGTTGTTTAGTAAGTATTTAAAATAGCTGAATACCTATTCTTTTCATTTTCATTTCTCCAAATTGCAGTCAGATCTCGTTTTCAAAGTCTTCCTGTTCAAATTTCAGGTAGCACCATTCTCTTCCTCGTGGTTGAAGACTTCCCTCTCTCTAATCCAGGATGTTGGAGCTGGTGGCCCAGAAACAGAAGGAACGAGGAGAAAGAGAGCAGCGAGAGGCAGTGGAGCGGGAGAGGCAGCGTAGACGGCAGGGCCAGGAGCTGTCGGCTGCACGGCAGCGGCTCCAGGAGGATGAGATGCGCCGGGCAGCTGAGGAGCGCAAGAGGGAGAAGGCTGAAGAGACAGCAGCCAGGTCAGGGGCCCCAGGTGGAGGTGGAGGGCAGGAGGAAAGGCTGGCAACAGGGCCTGGGTCACTCATCCTTGTGATTCTCCACCTTCCTCCCCATCCTCAGACAGCGAGTCCGGGAGAAGATCGAGAGGGATAAAGTAGAGAGAGCCAAGAAGGTGGGTTACTCGAGAGAACTGTCAGTCAAGGGATCACATTCGTAAATATCAGGGTAGGGTCAGTTATGGGAAGACTTCCCAACTCTGCTTTGTAGAGGACTTTAAAAGGTGGACAGGGAACTTGAAAATGAATGTGGGCGGGGGCTGTGGATTAAGGGTGGACTCTTAGCTGTTTTCCCTTAACCCCTAGTTTGGTGGCATAGGATCACAGATCACCTCCCCTGCAACCGAGCCAGGCCCTGTTCCCTCTTCTCCCAGTCAAGAGCCTCCTACCAAGCGCGAGTATGATCAGTGTCGCATACAGGTGGGGGTGTGTGTCTGTGTGTTTGTGTGTGATGATCCCCTGGGTGGCTGTGGGCCTTCCTCCAAGCCAAGAGCCATATGGAAGTGCTACTCCCACAGCCTCACAGCATCTTCCCACTGTCCCGTGTTCTGACATCTGTTCTCTTGGCTAAGTCTTCCCTTCCTTCCCAGATCCTTAAATCCTTACCTTCTCAATGAGACTTTCAAAAACTTAGCAGTGAACTAGCCAACTGACCCTCATCCTGTTTGAACACTGAACCCCCATAACATAAGTCCTGTGACATATGCTGACCATGGGACTTGTTTGCAATTTTAGCATTTCAGCTCCCTGGGGCCAATCTGTTACATCTCTCAAGATTATTCATCTCTCTTGCAATTGTAAACTCCCAGAGAGCAGGGAATGGGCATTTCTAACTTACCATGTCCAGCCTCCAGCACAGCCACAGAAAGGTGCTTTATAAACATTTTTTATCATGGTTACGATGAGTCGCTGTAATAGCCTCGTCCTTTTCTTGTAACTTTTTATTTAAGCAACTATTTAAGCAACCAGGTGGCAAAGTGGATAGAGCACTAGGCCTGGAATCAGAACACCTGAGATCAAATTCAGCCTTAGGCTTCACTAGCTTTGTGACCCTGGGCAAATCACTTAACCTCTGCCTCAATTTCCTTATCTGCAAAATGGGGGTCATAATTGGTACCCCCTTCCTAGAGTTAAGAGGATCAGGTGAGATCATTGTAAGGCACTTAACAGAGTCTGGCACATAGTAAACACTGTATAAATGTTGGCTATTTATCTTGTACCTTCCCTAATACTTGATTCTCTGTCCCTTCCAGGTTCGACTGCCTGATGGGACATCCCTGACCCAGACGTTCAAGGCCAGAGAGCAGCTGGCCGCAGTGAGACTCTATGTGGAGCTACATAGAGGAGAAGAACTAGGGGGCGGGCAGGACCCCGTGCAGCTGCTCAGCGGCTTCCCCCGGCGGGCCTTCTCTGAAGCTGATATGGAGAGACCTCTGCAGGAGCTGGGTATGGGACTAGGGAGGCAGTGGGCTGGGAGACAGCTCGAAGTGGATTGAGGTTTCAGTGTTGGATGTTAGGAACTGGAGTCTTTAGAACAAAAAGGGAAGATCCGCTTGCCTGAATCTCCTCTCTTCTCTCACCTACAGGACTTGTGCCTTCTGCTGTCCTCATTGTAGCCAAGAAGTGTGCCAGCTGAAGGGGTCTCCAGCCTCCTTGCCTTTTCCCCTCAAGACTCCCCCACCTCTGACAGAGCACTGACATCCCCTCCCTAATAAACATATCCTGAGTCATGTATGGCAGACTGCTTCCTGGGGGGCTGGGAGGGTAGAGGAGCCAAGGAAAGGAAAGTAGGTGAGGGAGAGGTCTGAGGCCTCCTAGACTTGTTTGTATCAATGTGGTCTCTCCCCCGGATCATTGCCATTTTACTTTGGCTGTTGAAAAAGGGTAGATGCTGGTGAGTTCTTCAGGTTGGGCCTGGCGCCTGTGGTCTGTCCTACAGTGCTCCCCGTGTTCAGAGGGACATTAAGGGCCAACCCACACCGGAAGAGGACCCTCCTTTGCAGCCCAGCCAACAAGTGGCAGGGGGCCAGCCTTGGCCGGAAGGCCCCGAGGAGATCCCTCTGGGGCATCCCTCCCCACACACAACCATGCTTCCCCCATCCAGCCAAATGTCCCAAGTGCCTTCTCCTTTCTTTCCCAACCCAGTTTGTCCTTAGCATGCAAATATAAAGCGATTCCCGATCCTGCCAAGTGTTGGCTCTCGGGGAGTAGTCGTGTTCTCGGCCCAAGCCGAAAACCCTTCCAGAACGGGACTAGAACCTTGTGCCAACCTTCCCGGAGACTTTTCACCTAGGGCTAGTCTCGTCGTGGGCCAAAGGGCACAGCAGCTGAAATCTTTGTGTTAACGTTTACTCTGGGGATGGGGAAATGTAATTTCTCCACATCGTTTTCGTGGTCAGAGAAGGGAAGCCAGAGGCTGACGTGCAGTGGGACAAAATGGTCATTCCACTTAGACCCCTGCCAAAAGTCACGTCAAAACCCGGGGTTTATTCCACACTGGGGAACGGGGAGGTGTCCACTTTCCGTGGGAGAGAGTCCCAGCCCCGAGTGGCCCCGGGGAGCCGAGGAGGTGTGTGGGGGCGGGAATCCTAAGTCCCGATGGGAGCCAGGAAAGGGCATCAAGCCGCCCTCCCTCCCGCCTGGCGGTTCCAGTCCTTCCTCCAGGCCACGTTCTCGTGGGTCTCTGCGGCCTCCCGGAGCGTGGCCATCCACAGCGTCTTGGTTTTGGTCGCTTCGTCCCTTCGCTGCGGGTTCCTCTCCGGAGTGTCCTGGGCGGGCCCAAAGAGGGAGGCAGGTCAGGGGCCGTGGAGGGCGGCCTCCCCAGCTGTCCCACCCCAGTGAGCGTCCCTTCGTGCAGGCGCGCCTCTGCCGCCCAGACAGCCGGTCAGCTCCCCGCGGACTCCCGGGCGCTCTGCACGCCCGCCTGCCCCGGCGCCGCTGCCGGGGCTCTGCGCGCGCCCTGCGCCCGGCACACAGCAGGCGCTTCCTCTGTGCAACCCACCTTGAGCAGATCGCGTGCCCGCTGCTCCCCCGGCGGCACCAGCACGAAGAGGAAGAGCCCCAGGCCCGCGCCCAAGCCCAGCACCACGGCCGCCTGCAGCACCTTGCCCAGCGACCCCATGGCCTCGCCCACTCGCACTCCCCCTCCGCCGGCCTGGAGAGGCCAACGCGGGACCATCGAGACGGGGCCGAGGGAGACCGGAAGTCGGAGGCTTTAGAAGGGGGAGAACGAGACGCAGAGAGAGGCCCGAGAGCGCCTCCTGCTGCTCTTCCTCCGACTTCGTAGAGCCGGGTGGGGATGGAGGGGGAAGAGCGCTCGTTGCTATGGCAGCGGGGGGCGGAGATCGCGGAGTCCTCCGAGAGGTGCCTGGGGACGCACGTCTGGGGTCTGCGGAGCGCTGCCTTTGCCCCTCGCCCGCGGAGCCGGCCGTGCACGTGCGGTCAACTTCACGTGAAAAAATCGCGAAGACTCGGGCTGCCAGATGTGTTTGGAGAATCCGGCCCTTCGTCTAGATGTCCATATGATGACCAGTTGGGACAGTGTGAAATGAGATTGCATCTGTAAAGCGCTCAGGCGCCGCATAAATGCTATTGTTGTTATGTATGCTTTAATCTGCACCTGTGGTCCACTGCCCACTCCAGGGACCTGCCTCACGTTCACGTTCTGGTTACACTGATCACTGATTGCAGAGTGCCTATCATTGTTCTTTTCCTTTACATTATTTACTTGATCGTGAAGATTGTTTTGCCCTATATTTGCTCATACAAGTGTTCCTGATTCTATCCACTGAGTCACTTATTCTCTCCCAACCTCAGTTTTCTCCTCTTAAAAATAGGAATAATAGCACCTACCACACAGGGTTGTAATGAGGATCAAATGGGATATCGTGCTTTGCAAACCTTAAAGTACTGTATAAACGCTAGCTGCTATTATTATTATAAATGAAAAAGCATTTATATTCAGTGCTTACTATGTGCAAAGAGCCCTGGGTTGTGTTGGGGTTATAAATAGAAAGTCAGACAGTACTTGATCTCAAGGAGCTCCCATTCTAATGTGTGACAATAACACACAGGGAAGGTTTCAGCTCCCAGGTCCCATGGCCTACTGATAAAATGATATTAGTTTCTGATGTTGAATAATTTGGCAGTGCCAAGAATTTTGGTGGCAAGAAATTTCTTCTCTGAGCTCTGCCCGGCTTCACTTCCACTAGGCTTCCTTCTCCATCCAACTGGGCTAGAAGCAAGGCTTTTCTCAGGGCTCTTGGTGTCAGGGTCCTGGGCTATCTCCATCTGGGTCAGAAAAGAGGTGATCAGGGTTTGACTTCCTTGTTGCCTCAGGTAAGCCAGCCTGTTTGCTGCAAATGAGGGCTTTGGGCTCAACCTTTTTCAGCTCTAAAACACTCTATTCCTCTATGATTCTAAAGACCCTGGACAGGAGATGGGAGATCTGGGATGAAGTCTTAGCTTGGTGACCATGTTCCTGTGACTCTTGGTTGCTTGTCTACAAAATGGGTTGGATTAGTTATCCTTAAGGTCCTTTCAGCTCTATTCATTTGCTTGTACAATACTTGGTCTCTCAGCCACCCTGTGAATTAGGGACTATACTCCAAGTATTAGCATTACCATTCTATAGACGAAGAAACTGGTTTAGAAGGGTATAGGGATTTGCCCAAATCCTACCATCTAATCATTAAGTCTAGGGCAGCTATATCTCTTGTCTCTGCAAGGGTCTGATTGGGCTTAAGTATATCAATGTGACCCCAGATCCCATCCCCACCCCCACCTCCTTCTGTGAAACAAAACACAAAAAGCTACTTGACTTTATGGTCAAGGTCTTGCAGAAAGGATCCAGAGCCATGTATTCAGGTGGGGAAAGGGAAAAATAGCTTTCAATTCTCTTTCTTTCTCTTCCAAGCGCCAAACTTTGCTCTTCCACAATATTCCCTCCCCCTCTGGGGCTCCATAATCTCCCTGCTGCTTGGTAGCCTCCTTTCCTCAGATGCGATTAAGGGGCCAGTTTCCAAAGGAGATTACAGGGGCAAAGTTAGTCTCCCCTTCTGTGGGAATCTGGGCATAAAAGGTCTGGGGACAGAGGGGGATACCAGCATATCGAGAAGATCTTTGAGTGGAACAATTCCACTGTCACTCTGTCACAATGGCCTTCCTGCCTAGGAGCAGTGAAGAAGAGGAGGAACTGTCTTGGCCCAGTAACAGCCCAGGCTCTCCCTGGAAACCAGACCCTCCAAATCAGGTCAAGAACTTGTGGGATGACCAGGACATTCAGGTATGTGCTCCAAGCCCTCTTCCCACTTTGGCCTAGAACCTCCTCCAAGCCCCTGCCTCTCCTTGTTTCAGATTCTGAGTCAGCTTCTGCCTTGCCTTAGGTTTCTTCTCAAAAGCCTGGTCCACCGTCCATCACGGTGGAAGCCACAGATATAAATGAGGTGGAAAGTGGGGAGCTCAGGTGGCCTCCTGAGGAGTTGCTATTATCGGACAGTGAAGAGGAAGAGGATGAGGCCTTTTTCCAGGACCAAGATGAAGAATCAGGTGAAGAAAGTATTGGTCTGGGAGCCCTGCAGCTGGGGACAAATGGGGGAAGGGCCAGGAAGAAACTGTTTGGGTGGGAGAAAGAGGGAAACCATAGGGAAAATAACGAGAGTTCATAAATTTCCTTTAGCACCAAACAGTAGAGGAAAACATGGATTGAAATCCTACCCTAGAAACTTAACTCAGTGACTGTTGGCTTCATCTGAGCCGGTTTCTTTAATTGTGAAATGGGAAGAATCAAATCAAAGAGAGTGTAACGGGCTTTCTTTCTCTGGCAACTTAAAACACCTTGAAAATGTCAACATGATTTTCCCACCCCAGGCTGGGCTTGGTGCCCCTTGGATCCCAGGTCCTCTTTAAGAACCCTCAATCCTGGATCTGACTGGGAGCAGGATGAAGAGGAAGAAACCTGGGGGGAGAGTGATTCATGGATTTCTGGTGAGTGAGATTAAGACTCCTTTCCTTATTTCCTGAATCACAGGGCCATTCAAGGTCTCCACCCCCCACTGCTCCACGTGGCCTGTAGAATAGGGGATGCCACCAACCTGGACAGTAGATAAGTCCCTATGCTTCCCACCCCCCCCAGAGGGAAATGTTATCACCCACTCCTAAACTCGATACACAAATAAAACGAGGAAAATTGGTTTTATTGAGCTGCCTGTACCAAGTAAGCAAAATAGTTGACTCCCCTGAAGGGTCCCAGTTCATGTACTATCACCAATCTGCTGCCAGCTCCCCGCTCCAAGCAGGGCAGGCGAACATCAGGGTCCTCATCTGAGAACTGCACTAGGGTGCCCTTGGGGGCCAGCACCCGAAGACACTCAGACAGCAGCTGCTGTGCCCCGGTTTGGCCACCCCTGGCCACAGCATCCCAGGTGCCCTTGTCTAGTACCAGTTGAAAGGACCCAGAAGGACAGATAGAGCCCAGATTCCTGGCATCAGCCTGCAGGAAACGCAGACGGGAAGCAGGGTGCTTGGGGCGCAATTCAGGGTGGTCTCCATGCCCTTCCAGCAAGCTCTTCATGTGAGACACAGCCACTGGAGAAAAGTCCACCCCGAGGACATGCAAGGGCAGGCGGCATTTGGTATAAAGTCCAGAGCACAAATCCGAGGTCCCACAGCCCACATCCAGCACCTTGAGGGGGGCCACTGCTGACCCCTGGGGAGCCCCTTTTTGAAGTAGGGGCAGGAGAAGCCCCTGAACCTCTTCGTAGCCAAAAAACCAGTCGAAGTTAGGGGGACTTCCGGGCAGCGCCTGGGCGTGGAGCCGGTCCCAGAGGCTGGGATCGGATAGGCAGCTGCCGGCCAGTGAGCCTGCACAGGGTCGGGACAGGGAGGGGGCAACCGTCAAGGGCGCACGCTGGGCACTCCCCTCAATCCCTCCCACATGCCCCACGTCCAAATCCCTACCGGCCCAGGAGCGCTTCGCCCTGGTCACCCCGTGGAGAAGTCTGCGCAGCAGCGCCATCGGTAAGGTCACCAGGGTCAGTCTCAGAGGAAGGACGAAATGCCAAGTGACACGCGTAGGGAAGGGTCTGAGCCACGGCCAGCGGCCAATTCTGAGCCAGGAGCAAAGTTCCACGACGCTCGCTCCCTCCCCACCCCCGCACCCCGAAGGAACGAGGAACAAAGGTCAGACCCGGACTGCTCTCAGGGAGTGGACTTTATTGAATTAGCGTACCAAAAGGGAGAGGAGTGATGCGGTCGTTCCAGGTCCAGTGGCGGCGGCAATCAAGGCCCTGCAATAGAAGCACAGCAGATGAGCATCCGAGGATGCGGGGAAAGAAAGGCGGGAGGATCCCGTGCCCCTCTCTCAGCCCTGCAAAAAGGAACGGTGTCCCGGCGAGTGAGGATAGAACCGGCGGATGGGGAGCCGCCGGCACCGAAGACATGACGCCAGGGGACCCAGGGTCCTTTGCTCTGCCTCCGTACATAACGGGGGCCGGGACTGAGCACCCGGCCCCCGCCAAGAAATGGAGGCGGGATGTGGAGAAGCACGGGGCCGCGTCTCCGAAAGCCCCGAGGCCAGGCGAGGCCCCTCCCTTCGGACGCCCGCCCCCGACAGCACCCTCCGCTGCAGGTGAACCTGCCTTACTCACCGGCTCCCAGGCAAGAAAGAGGAAGCACCTGCGGCCTGGGCCCCTTTATAGGCGGGCGCGCAGTCCCGCCCCCTACTCCCGATTGGCCGCCTTCTGCTAGGGGGCGGAGCCTCCCGAAGGGGCGGGACCGCGGCGAGACGCGCTCGCGGAGGCTCGGAAGCGCACTCGCTGCGCTGAACTCAGCGCCCGGACCATGGGGGCCCCCGGGGGGAAGATCAACCGGCCGCGAACGGTGACTGCCCGGGGCCCCACCCGATGCCCCCTAGCCAGGCCTGGCCACCCTCCTTGCCCCCGGCCCACGCCGCCCTCGTGGCCCTGCGGCCCACGCCGCGGCTGCCCAGCGCGGGCCACCCACGCAGGTTCCCCCCCCCCCCCGGGTTCCGGCTCCTCCTCGCCAGCCCCCTCCGGCGGCGGGGCTGGGAGGGCCGGGCTCTAGAGCACCCCCTCCCCCTAACTCTGCTGCCCTCTCCTTCCCTGCCAGGAGCTGAAAAAGAAGTTGTTCAAGCGGCGCCGGGTGCTGAGACGGGAGCGGCGGCGGCGGCACCGGGTGGTCGGGGCGGTGGTGGACGAGGGGCTCATTACTCGCCATCACCTCAAGAAGCGGGCGTGAGTCCCCCAGGAGCCCCTCCCTCCCGGGGCTTTCCCACTGGGGCCCCTCCGCTCCTTAGGCGACGTCTCTTGAGCCCTTCCTAGACCCTTTCTCCGGAGGGAGGGCATTCCCGGTGTAAGGGACGGCCAGTGCAAAGGCGAGGAGATGGGAGATGGAGGGCCTCGTTTGGCTGGGTGCGGAGATAGGCTTACGTGCCTGTCTCTGTGTTGCGTTTCCCAGTACCTCGGTCAGCTTTTTAGAGCCGTCCCAAGGCTGTGTAAGCGTGGCATTGAACGCCTAGGAGTCTCTCAGTAAGGGCTTTGTTGATGGGAGGTGAATGGAGGTGGTGTGGACCAGCTGGTCTCTCCATCCCCCTGACACGAGTGGCCCCGTTAGTTGCCTACATTATGTTGCTTGAGTCTTCCTCAACCTGTCTGCAAGGGAGGCACTGTTCTTGTCCTCCCTGCCTCCCCTCCACACACCTTGGACCAGGAGACTGAGCTCATTCTGACCTTGCCATCTGTGCACCCCGACCTGGGGAGGGCTGAGCCAGAGACCTGGAGGCCCCTGGAGAATTCAGGCAATAAGCAGGAAGTAGCTGTTATTACCTACTATGTGCCAGGTCCCAGAGATAGAGGCAAAAATGGGAAAACGTCCCTGCCTTCAAGTAGCTTCTTTACCTTCTTTGGGGGGATGCAGACCATACATACACATACAATGTGCATACATATAAGGAAATTCAAAGCATACATGAAATGCAAAGTGACGTCCCTGGAAAGGGATGGGGAAATCAGGAAAGGCTTCCTCTAGGAGGCTGCGGCAGAGCTGTCCCTGGAGGGAGCTTCTTTGCTCCTTCCCTGTAGGTCCAGTGCCCGGGCCAACATTACCCTGTCTGGGAAGAAACGAAGGAAACTTTTGCAACAGATCAGGCATGCCCAGAAGGAGAAGGCTGCCATGGAGGGTGAGGAGGATGGAGGGCTTGGGAGGGTGGGAGCAGGGGAAGGACTGGGGCCTCTCGAAGAAGAGAGTGGAGGGCATTTTGCTGTCTAACGTTTTCCCCTCATTTCTCCGTCAGTGGAAGCCCCGCCGAAGCCAGGCAGGACCACTGAGGCACAACTTAGACGGCAGAAGAAAAGGAAAACTGGAATTATCCAGGATGTGGAGATGGAAGACCTAGAACGGGACAGCTGAGCCCAGACAACCTCAGAAAAGGGCATCCCTTCAGTTAGGACAAGAATGATAGGCTTTTTTTTTTTTTTTAAGTTTTTATTTTTGGAGGCGGTTGGGGTTAAGTGACTTGTCCAGGGTCATACAGCTAGGCTGGATTAGAACCCAGGTCCTCCTGACTCCAGGGCTGGTGTTTTATCTGATTCACCTCCTAGCTGCTGCCATGCCACCATGGGCTTCTAAGGTTACATGGCTCAGACCTTTCCCTTCCCTCCCCTCCTATGCCTCACGGTTCAAGTCCCTTTGCTAGGGGCAGCGGAGTGTCAGATGCTGTTTCCTGTGCTTCCTGGGGAGGAAAGAAGGGAGACCTGTGACTCAGTAGTGATAAGTTTGTAATAAAGTCATTTGAGTTCTGGCTGGAGTGTCTTTGTGAGTCTCTGTGGAAAGAGGGGGATAGTATATACCTAAAAAAAAAAGAAAAAGAACTTCAAATGGAATAAATTATTTATGCAGCCTTCAAAAAAAAAAAGAGGGGGATAGGGTAGGAACCAGGGAGCAAAGCCAGAGGCAACCCCTGAGACAATCCCTGCCCCCAAGACTGAGGGTTCAGTGTTTCAAACCGATTTGCTGACAAGTAGCCTCACAGCCCTACATTCGAGGAGATCTGGGTTCCTTCTTTCCTTCTCAGTGTTCTTATCTATAAACTGTTCTACTTCCTGACCACAGTTGTTCAAATCAAACAAAATGGTAGGAGAACAAGGCAGATAGGTGGTTTAGTGGCTAGAGCACTGAATCTGGAGTCAGGAAGACCTGAGTTCAAATTCTCCCTCATATTCTTAATAACCCTGGTAAAGTCACTTACCCGTCTCCCTCGATTTCCTGTAAAATGGGGATAATAGCACCTGTCTCACAGGGTGGTTGTAAAGATAGGTTGAGAATCATATCTGTAAAGTGGTTCCTTAAAGGGATGTGTAAATGCTAGGTATCACTATATGGAAATGCTCTGGGAAGTATGAGGCAGAGTACTATCACTCAAGACGAATCGTTGAAACTCTCGATCACATAGCTATACCCAGCCTTCAAAGCCCCATTTCCAGGAGCCTCTTAGCCCTCACCTTGCATATAGTTTATCCCACATTCCACTAATGAGATCAAATAAGATGAATATTTGTTGAGTGCTTAGCATGGTCCTCAGCTCATAGTAGGTGCTTAATAAATGCTTCTTCCCTTCCCTCCCTTCCCTTCCTCACTCTACCCTCCCTGCCCCCTTCCCATATTGTTTTGATTTGTTCAGTTGTGTGTGTATCAGCCTTATCTCCTCGACAAAATGATCAGTTTATGGAGAACAGAGCTAGCATTATATCCGTCCTTGTCCCCAGATGCTTAATCAATGATTTTGTTAAGTGGATTTGTAAGGGTAGTCACAGAGCTGGGTTAAGCAGGCACTAACCACTCTGGACAATTGATCCTGAAAACCTGAATCCCAAGAAAAAAGCAAAGTCTAAAAGGGGCAGTTTACCTTATCACATCAGGACCCACAATGTCTGGCTCCCTCTTTCTCTCTGGATCTCCAGCTCCTACCCTGAACCCACTTTTATATCTTCTGTGAGGTAAGTGCCATTCTCCACTCCATTTTACAGATGAAGTTGAGGCTGAGATCAGGTGACTTGGCTGTGTCTAGGTGTCAAACTCAGGTCTTCCTGACCTTGTTGCTTCTCGGTCCTTCGCATCCCTGACCGTTATGTTCCCCTCCTTTCCTCCTTAATGTGGAATTGATACATATTTTAAAATATTTGTGACATTTACTCGTGAAGCTGGTGTGATATGTTGAACAAGTTTTGTTTCATGTGTTCAATTTTAAAAGCAAATGAGTCAATTTTGTTGCAGTTTTTTGTTCAGCAAATTGTCCAAAGAAAAAATGTGTTAAAAGAACGGGAGATTCAGCCACCTTCAATCCCTTGGGTGGATCCAGGGGAGATGACATTGTTTTGTGTTATCAGTTTATTCTCTTTCTCTACGTGACACCCCAAACACAATCGATAATCAAGCATTTATTAAGCTCCCACAATGATGATGCTCTAGGTCGCTTCACGACCATCCTGGGAGGAAGGTGCTATCATCCCCACTTTACAGAACATCCTTACGTAAACAGAGTGCTATCACTTCCTGTGCGTGTAGGGAGGACGTATGTGGCAGAGCGCTGTGGAAAGCGGGGCTAGGTCTATCAGGCCTCAGTCCCGTGCCACGTTCTCCCCTCTAGGATTCGTGCACAGTGGGCGGCCAGGGTCTCAGTTTCCCTATCTGTAAAATGGAGGGGTATGCTGGCTCTGACGTTCGTGCATTGGCTTAGGGGTGGATGGCCCCGCCCCTCCCCTCCTCTGCTCCGCCCCTCCTTCCTCAGCCCTCCCCTTGCAGGGGCCGGGCTGGGCGCGGAACGCTTCTCCCCCGGCCTCTGCCGGCGCCGGACTCCTTTGCGTGCCACCCTCCCCAGCGGGTTCCGCCGCTCGCTGGCCGCCCAGCGCGCATGCGTCCCTCGTGCTCCGCCGCTCCCGCCACCGCCGCCCCTCCAGCCCCAGCCACCACCGGCTCCGGGCTCGGGATGTCGGCGCTGTGCGATCCCTCCGGGCCCCCGGCCCCACCCGCGCCCGCGGCCCACGGGCCCGCGTCCCCGCTCAGGTGCGTGGGCGCCGGCAATCACGCCGACCCCGAGTCGGCGCTTAGAAATCGTCGATCTCGCCCCATTGTACAGATGAGGAAACTGAGGCCGCGTGTGTGGGGGGGAAGCATGAGGGCGGCCAGTTCGGCCCCCTCGTTTTACACATGCTAAGAAACTGAGGCCCGCGGAGGGAGGGTCTAGACCAAGGGCCTCGGGGGCAAACGGCACAGCCTGAGTCAGGGCCCCGGGACCGCTCTCCCCGCCCCGCCCCTCCCCCCAGCAGGTGCTCTCGCTCGGGGTTCCTAGAGGTGGCCGGGGAGGAAGGAGGGCAGCCCAGGCGTTGGGGACGGCCAGTGCAAAGGCATGGGGGCCAGCTGGCCTGGAGTGTCGCTTCGTGTGTAAAGGGTTGCAGGGAATGGTAGCGTGGAGCTGGGGTTGGGGGGGCTTCACTGCAAACTGGGGGAGTTGGTGTGTGCTCGAGACACTAGGGAGCCCAGGAGGGATCTGGAGCAGGTGAGTGTCTGGACCAGGCAGCTGCGTGGAGGTCGGACTGGAAGCCCCAGGTCCAGTTAGTCTGTGGAGGGGTCAGCAGAGTCTGAACTCGATGCCAGGGGAGAGAAGGGGACGGATGCCAGAGCTGCTGGGGAGCCAGATGGCCAAGACTTGGCAGCCTGTTAGCCATGGGGGAGGCAGAAGGAAGAGGCACAGGCCAGCCTCAGTAATGTAGTGCGTCTGGATGTCCAGTTCAAGATGTCCATCGGAGGTCTGGAGCTTAGTAGAGTCACCAGCACAGAGATGGCCAGTGAAACCTGAATCAATGAAGCTGGGAGCCCAGGTGGAGCCCTGGGACACACCCACATCCAGGGCCAGGCCTGGGTGATGGTGTGGGAGGAGCAAGCTGGTCTAGAGCTTGCCTGAGGTCTAGAAGGATAAAGAGGAGGGGAGGGGCCATTAGTAATTAAAAGATCTTTGGCCTCCTTGAGGAAGTGTTTCTATTGTGTGGAGTCACTAGGGGTTGGGAAGTGAGGACGCAGTCACTGAGCAGGGCGTTGGGGGCTTTTGACTAGACTTTTCCCACTGATTCCAGAGTCACCATCAAAATGGCCCTAGGGATGCCCTCTCAGGGTTACCGAATTAGGAGGAAAGGACCCTCGGCAGGCTACACAGGGAGTGAGTAGGAGAGCCAAGACCCAAGGCTTCTGAGGTCCAATTCAGTCCTCCACCTCTCCCCCCAACTCTGTGGTCAACACTGAGAGGAACTTTAAACACCATCAAGGCCAGGAGAAGCAGTGGGGCCCAGCGGTTACGCCCTGCTGGATTTGGAGTTGGGAAGTATAGCTTCAGATCTGCTCTAGACTAGCTATGTGACTTTGGGCAAGTCCTTTCCCCTCTCCAGGCCTGTTTGCTTCTTTATAAAATGATGGTATTGAACAGGATGGTGTCTGGGGCTCTTGGGGGTGCTAAAGTCAGTTAACATGTTAGCCTAGATCTTGATCACGGTAGAGATGAGCACAGTGTAGGGGAAGGAGGCAGCTCCACGATCTGGAGCACCTCCCTTCTATGGGCCGCAGTTTCCCCCTCTCTAACATGAGGGAGCTGGACCCACTGAGCTTCCAGGTCTGCCGTTTCGTAATTCTGTGATGCCACCTGGAGCACTGTGTTCAGTTCTGGGGATCACAGTTTAGGTGGGACGTCCGTGTGGCCGGGGGATCAGGGCACTGGAAACTGTCCCGTGGGAGGATCGAAGGAAGAGACCACTTGTGGTCTGGAGAACAGCAGTCCTGGGTGGATGGGAGGCAGGACCATGGTGGCCCTCTTCACGTCTGCAAGAACGAGGCGCAGTGAGGGAGAGGTCAGCTCAATACAAGGGAGTGTGTGCTCACCATCAGAAATACCCCAAAGTAGAGGGCGCTGCCTTAGGGAAAGCCGTGGGTCCCCACTCAGGAGAGTTCTGCAGGTCAGGCGGGCTGACCAGGCTTGGGGAAGTTCTGAGAGGGCAGTCTGACTCCTGTTCAGGTGAGGCTCCAAGGGGCTTTCCTTCTCAGTGATTGCGTGGAAACCCCCGCTGGGTTTGTCGTGAGGCCCACCTGACTCCCCTTTTCTCTCCTCCTTCACAGTGCCCAGGAGCTGGCTCAGGAAATCAAGGCTTTTCTGACTGGCGTTGACCCTGTCCTAGGCCATCAACTCTCTGCCCGTGACCATGCCCGCTGTGGCCTCCTCCTGCTGCGCTCCTTGCCCCCGGCCCGGGCAGCCGTCCTCGACCACCTGAGGAGCGTCTTCGACGACAGCGTCCGGGCCCACCTGGCCACGCTGGATGACAGTGCCGTGGCGGGCCCGCAGCATCTCCGCGCGCCACTCCCTTCCCATGCTCCCGCCGGGGGTCCTGGCCTGGAGGATGTCGTTCAGGAGGTGCAGCAGGTGCTCTCCGAGTTCATCCGGGCCAATCCCAAGGCCTGGGCCCCCGTGGTTAGTGCGTGGTCCATCGACCTGATGGGACAGCTGAGCAGCAAGTACTCTGGCCGCCACCAGCGGGTGCCCCATGCCGCGGGCTCCCTTAATGAGCTGCTGCAGCTGTGGATGGGGTGCCGCGCTACCCGGACCCTGATGGACATTTACGTGCAGTGCCTGTCTGCCCTCATCGGGAGCTGTCCTGACGCCTGTGTGGACGCTCTCTTGGACACGTCTGTCCAGCATTCTCCCCATTTTGACTGGGTCGTGGCCCACATCGGCTCCTCGTTCCCCGGTACCATTATCTCTCGCGTCCTGTCCTGTGGACTCAAGGATTTTTGTGTCCATGGTGGGGCTGGAGGGGGAAGTGGGGGAGCAGGCGGCCCCCCTCCGACCCCATCAGCAGATGTCTTCCCTTCAACCCCTGCTGTCCCTGGAGAGAAGCGCGTGCCTAAGATTGCATCTGTGGTAGGGATCCTGGGGCACCTGGCCTCACGCCACGGGGACAGCATCCGCCGCGAGCTCCTTCGCATGTTCCACGAGAGCTTGGCAGCAGGCTCTGGGGGGCGTGGGGGTGACCCCTCCCTTCAGGCCACAGTGCCCTTCTTGCTGCAGCTGGCGGTCATGTCGCCAGCCCTGCTGGGCACCGTCTCGGGGGAGCTGGTGGACTGCCTGAAGCCGCCGTCGGTCCTGAGCCAGCTTCAGCAGCACCTCCAGGTCTTTGGCCGAGAGGAGCTAGACAACATGCTGAGCCTGGCGGTCCACTTGGTGAGCCAGGCCTCTGGGGCCGGGGCTTACCGGCTCCTGCAGTTCTTGGTGGACACGGCCATGCCGGCTTCTGTCATCACGCCCCCTGGCCTGGCCGTCCCCGACGCCGTCCGGGAGGCCTGTGACCGGCTCATCCAGCTGCTGCTGCTGCATCTCCAAAAGCTTGTGCATAATCGGGGAGGGTCCCCTGGGGACGGGGTCCTGGGCCCTCCGCCCCCGCCCCGCCTGGTGCCCTTTCTGGATGCCCTGCGGAGCCACGTCGGGGAGCTGTGTGGGGAGACCCTGAGGCTGGAGCGGAAGCGTTTCCTTTGGCAGCACCAGCTCCTGGGCCTGCTGTCTGTCTACACGCGGCCCAGCTGTGGGCCGGAGGCCTTGGGCCATCTCTTGAGTCGGGCCCGGACCCCGGAAGAGTTGAGCCTGGCCACACAGCTGTACGCTGGGCTGGCGGTCAGCCTCTCTGGCCTGCTGCCCTTGGCCTTGTGCAGTTGCCTGGCTCGCGTCCACGCGGGGACGCTGCTCCCCCCCTTCACAACCAGGCTGCTCCGGAACCTGGCTCTGCTGGTGGGCTGGGAGCAGCAGGGTGGCGAGGGGCCCGCTGCCCTGGGGGCCCGTGTTGGCGAGGCGGTCTCTGCCCAGCTTCCTGACCTGGCTCCGCTCCTGCTGCACCCTGAAGAGGAAGTCGCTGAGGCGGCCGCGTCCCTGTTGGCCATCTGCCCCTTCCCTCGGGGGGCCCTGCTCCCCGCCCAGCTCCTGAGCTTGGTGAGGGCTGGCGTGTCTCGGTTCTTCGCCTCCCTGAGGCTTCACGGGCCCCCGGGCGTCTCCTCGGCTTCACGTCTGCTGGCACGGCTCTCTCAGGCCTCCCCCGCTGGCCTCAAAGCCGTCCTCCAGCTTCTGGTAGAGGGAGCTTTGCATCGGGGCAATGCCGAGCTGTTTGGGGGTGAAGGAGAAGGGGCAAGCGAGAACGTGTCCGCCGCCTCGTCCGGTTCGGCTTCTGCTTACCTGCTGGAGACCAACAGACGGCACACGGCGGCGGTGCCGGGCTCCGGGGGCGTCTGGTCGGTGTTTCACGCCGGAGTCATCGGCCGGGGCCTGAAACCTCCCAGGTCGGCCCGCTGCCGCGGCGCAGAGGAAGTGGCCTACAACACGCAGAGCCTTCTCCGCCTGTTGGTGCGCTGCTGTAGTGTCTCGGGTGGCACTGGAACCGGCGACTGCTGGGGAGCCCCGGCGCTGAGCCCCGAGGCGGCCAAAGCGGTGGCAGTTACCGTGGTAGAGAGCGTGTGCCCAGATGCGGCCGGGGCCGAGCTGGCCTGGCCCCCTGAGGATCACGCTCGAACCACAGTGGAGCGGGACCTCCGCATCGGTCGCCGGTTCCGGGAGCACCCGCTGCTCTTTGAGCTGCTGAAGCTGGTGGCCGCGGCGCCGCCGGCCCTGTGCTACTGCTCCGTCCTGCTGAGGGGCCTCCTGGCGGCCCTCCTGGGTCACTGGGAGGCCTCTCGCCACCCGGACACCTCCCAGTCGCCCTGGCAGCTGGAGGCCTCGTGTGCTCTGGTGGCCGTCATGGCCGAGGGGAGCCTGCTGCCCCCAACCTTGGGCAACATGCACGAGGTGTTCGGCCAGCTGGCGCCCTTTGAGGTGCGGCTGCTGCTGCTCAGCGTCTGGGGCTTCCTGCGAGAGCACGGTCCCCTGCCCCAGAAGTTCGCTTTCCAGCCCGACAGGGGCCGCTTTGCCAGGGACTTCTCCAGGGAGGGTGGTGGAGCTGGGGGGCCCCACCTGGCCGTCCTGCACAG